GAAGAGGACAACAAACGAGGGGCTGTGACAAACTGTTTCTTCGGAGTTTCACCAACTCATCAGGAGGCTGAACCCTCAACAGTCTGCAGAATCCCCTCACTGATTACACTGTAAATGATAATCTACCTTAACCAAAATCAACGTAGACTATCACTCACCCACACCAGATGGAAAACTCTACAGACTGTCGGTTCACACCTATATATATATTCTGTTTGTGCTATATATATATATATATATATATATATATTAAAAACGACTAAGTTCCCAAAGAAAAAAAAGAGGAAAAATAAGTGTAATCTTCGGCGAAGACTTGGGGAGGGTTGGCAGGTTAGGTACCAAAACAAACGGCTAAGTTCCGAAAGAAGAAAAAAAAGAAAAACAAGTGTTATCTTCGCCGAAGACTTGGGGCGGGTAGAAGGTATGGTACAAAAAAAACCAGCTAAGTTCGAAAAGAAGAAAAAGAAAAAAAATAAACATAATCTTCACTGAAGTCTTGGGAAGGGTTAGCATGACAAACACCTCGAAAAATGGCTAGAAAAAAAAAAAAAAAAAAAAGTTGATCTTCGCCGAAGACTTGGAAAGGGTTAGCAAGTGAGGTACAAAAAAAACGGTAAAGTTTTCAAAAAAAAAAAAAAAAAGTTTAATCTTCAGAGAATGGCTGAGATAAAAAAAAAAAAAACGGCTAAGTTTTCAAACAAGAAAAAAAAAAAAATGAGATTTGTTTTCTCCGAAGACTACAGTAGTGTTAGAAGGTGCGTTACCAAGAACAACGACCAAGATCCCAGCGGAAAAAAAAAAAAAAAAAGTGGAATCTTCGTCGAACACTTGGCAAGCATCAACAAGTGAGATACAAAAAAAACGTTTAAGTTCTCAAAAAAGAAAAAAAAGAAAAATAAGTGTAATCTTCGCCGAAGACTTGAGGAGGGTTAACACGACAAGAATCTAAAAAAACGGTTAAGTTTCCAAAGAAGAAAAAGAAGAAAAATAAGTGTAATCTTCGCCGAAGACTTGGGTGGTGTTAGAAAGTAAGACACCAAAAAAAACGGTCAAGTTCCAGAGAAGAAAAAAAAGAAAAATAATTGTGATCTTCGCCGAAGACTTGGGGAGGGTTAGAAGAACAATGATCTGAAAAAACCGCTAAGTTCCCAAAGAAGTAAAATAAGAAGAATATGTGTAATCTTCGACGAAGACTTGGAGAGGGTTAGCAAGACGAGGACCTAAAAAAACGGTGCAGTTCCCAGAGAGAAAAAAAAGAAAAATAAGTGTAATCTCCGACGAAGACTTGTGGAGGGTTAGAAGGTGAGGTACCATAAAAAAACCTTGAGTTCTCAAGGAAGAAAAAACAGAAAAATAAGTGTAATCTTCGACGAAGAGTTGGGGGGGGTTATAAAATGAGGTACCTAAAAAAACAGTTAAGTTCGCAGAGAAGAAAAATAAGAAAAATAAGTGTAATCTCTGGCGAAGATTTGAGGAGGGCTAGCAGGTGAGATACCATAAAAAACGACAAAGTTCCTAAAGAAAAAAAAGAAGAAAACTACGCATCATCTTCGGCGAAGGCTTGGGGAGGGTTAACAGGTGAGATACCCTAAAAAACGGCTAAGTTTCCAAAAAAAAAAAAGAAGAAAAATAAGTGTAATCTTTGACGAAGACTTGGCAAGGGTTAGCAAGTGAGATGCCATAAGAAACGGCTACGTTCGCAAAGAATAAAAAGAAGAAAAATAAGCGTAATCTTCGGCGAAGACTATGGGAGGGCTAGCAGGTGAGATACCCTAAAAAATGACTAACTTCCAAAAGAAGAAAAAAAAGAAAAATAAATGTAATTTTCGGCGAAGACTTGGGGAGAGCTAGCGGGTGAGATACCCTAAAAAACGGGTAAGTTTCCTAAGAAAAAAAAGAAGAAAAACGAGTGTAATCTTCGGCGCAGACTTGGGGAGGGCTAGGAGGTGAGATACCCTTTGCAGCTGAGATACCCTAAAAAACAACTAACTTCCGAAAGAAAAAAAAGGAGAAAAATAAGTGTAATCTCCGGCGAAGACATGGGGAGGGATAGAAGGTGAAGATACCTTTAAAAACGAGTAAGTTCCCAAAGAAGAAAAAGAAGAAAAATAAGAGTAATCTTCGGCGAAAACTTGGGAGGGCT